GGGGGGGGGGAACAACCAGCGACTGTTTATAAAGGCGCGCTGGGTTTATCAGCTAAATTGGGCAAATATTGACTCTGGGAAGTGGGGAGGGAGAGGGAGGAAAGCGCTGGGAAGGGGGGGACCGCTCCCCATGACCGGGAGGGGGCAGAGAGGGGGCTCAGAAGTCACTGGAGTGCCCCCCTCCCATTGCAGCGGGGTCCCCACGCCACTCACAGCTGAGGTTGAGGATGGAGTCGTAGGCTTTGCACTGGATCTGCCCCGTGCTCTGCCAGGCGCAGGACATCCACAGCCCCTGGTAGACCGCCACGGCCGTGATGATGCTGTCCCCCGCGTAGGAGGACATGCGCCACTGAGGCAGGATGGTGGCCGCGATCAGGGCCACCCAGCCCAGCAGGGCCAGCACGAAGCCCAGCAGCTGCAGCCCGGAGTTGGCCATGGCGAGCCACCCAGGAGAGAGAAAAAAAAACAAAGAAAAACCACGCGTGGATCCGGGCGCGCGATCCAAACAAAGCACCGCCCCCCAAAAAAGCTGGAGCTGGGGGGGGGGCGGGAGCAAAACGCGCGTGGATCCGGGGAGCGCGGCCGCCCAAATAAAACACGGGTGGATCCGGAGGTGGGGCGCGACCCAAACAAAAGAAGTGGGGGAAGGGAAGCGCGCGGCGTCCAGCCAACTACAAATCCTCTCGCTCTCTCTGCCTACTACCTGGGCAGGTAAGTGGCTCACCTGTATTTATGCCCTGGGCGGGGAGGGGGCGGGGTCAGGCCTGCGGGGTGGGGGGAGGGGAAGTTTCATGACATCACCCCGGGGCCATGGGGACGGAAGGAGTGTCATTAGGGGCGGTAAAACCAGGGCAGGGCAGGTTCCGGCTCGGGGGGAGGGGCGGTCAACACCGCTGCCCCCCCACCTGACTGAGCAGACCCCCCCGGCCTCACCCACTCCCACTGCCCCCACCCGGAACTGAGCAAATTCCTCCCCCTCCTCAAATGCCTTCCCCACTTCCAATTCCCCCCCACTCCCCAGCCACTCGCCGTGACTCAGTTTCCCCACCTGTACAATGGGAAGATTGGCTAGAGGGGGTGTGTCTCATTGTGTATCTGGACAGTGCCTGGCATCATGGGGGGGGGGGTTGTCCGATCGGGGGGGGGTCCGTGCCGGCTCTGGCTGTTTGCACGTCGGGTATAGGATGTTGTGGGGGGGGGAGGTGAGTGATCCCTGAGTTCTCTGTCGGTCTGCGCCCCATAACGGTGCAGCGGGGAAATACCTGCTGGGGCTGGGAGCGGCAGGTGCGTGAATAGACTGCGGGGGTGGCTCCGCCCTGCCCACCCCACAGGTTTTGTGGGGGGAGATGAGTGGGGAGGAAGGACAGGAGGTGAGTGGGGGAAGGGCAGGGGGTTGGAGGGAAGGGGTGAGTGGGGGGGAAGGGCAGGGGAAAGGGTGAGTGGGGGGAGGGCAAGGGGTGAGTGGGGTGAAGGGTGAGTGGCGGGGAAGGGGAGGGGGTGAGTGGGGAGGGCAGGGGACGAGGGGGAAGGGCAGGGGAGAGTCGGGGAGGACGGGGGGAAGTGGGGGGAAGGCAGGGGGAGTGGAGGGGGAGGGCAGAGGGGAGTGGGGGCAGGCGGGAGGGCAGGGGAGAGTGGCGGGGAGGGCAGGGAGCAGTGGGGAGGACAGAGGGGAGTGGGGGGAGGCGGGAGGGCAGGGGAGAGTGGCGGGGAGGGCAGGGAGCAGTGGGGGAGGACAGGGGGAAGGCAGGGGGAGTGGACGGGGAGGGCAGGAGGGAGTGGGGGAGGCGGGAGGGCAGGGGAGAGTGGGGGGAAGGCAGGGAGCAGTTGGGGGGAGGGCAGAGGGGAGTGGGGGGAGGTGGGAGGGCAGGGGGGAGTGGGGGAGGGAAGGGGGCGGGCGGGAGAATGTGTCACTCCATGTGATTCACAATCACAAGTGAAATAGAAACTCCACTCACCGGTTCCCCCAAGTCATGAGCTCCGGGTCCCTGCCCCACATCCTGCCCCAGAGAATCCACCCCAGAGACCTCTCTTCTGCCCCACCTCTTGCCCCCAGAGGATCCCTCCCTCTGCCACACCACACCCTGCCCCACAGGATCTGCCCCATGGGATCCCCCGCTTTCTGCCTCACGGGATCCCCTGCTCTCTGCCTCACACTCTGCCTCACAGGATCCCCCCCACCCCACATTCAGCACTGTGGAATACCCCCTCAGCCCCACATTATGACCCATAGTACCCCCCCCCACCGCCCTCCCTGCTGCACCACGTTCTGCCCTATGGAATACCCTCCATCTGCCCCACACCCTGCCCCATGGCATCCCTCCAAGTGCCCTCCCCTCTGCCCCACACCTAGCCCCATCCCTCCTCCCTGCCCCATGGCATCCCCTCAGCGCTCGCCCATGTGCCCCAGGCCCCACCCCATAGAATCACTCCACCCCACAGCACCTCCCATATGCCCCATCCCATAGCAGTTTCCCTCCCCTCCATGCATTCCCCTCTGCCCCACACCCCACCCTCCCCTCCCTGCTCATTGCCCCCGTCCCATTGATACTGAGAGTGGCTGATTCATGGGGGCAGGTCTCCCCAGACATGGGCAGGGACCCAGAGAGTGAAACCCCTCCCCCCACACCCCATCAGGGGGGCCACAGGGGCGCTGGGGGGAGGGGTCATTGTGTGTGTGTGTGTGTGTTGGTGGGGGGTGCCTGTGCAGCTGCATGTTTTGTGTATCACTGTGTACGAGAGTGTGTTTGTGTGTGTGTGTTTGTGTGTGTGTGTGTGTGTGTGTGCATGTGAGTGTGTGCATGTGAGTGTGTGCATGAGTGTGTGTGCATGAGTGTGTGTGTATGCGGGTGCAGATGTTGACCTGTGTGTGTGTGTGTGTGTGTGTGAGTGTCTGTGTGTGTGTGTGTGTGTGTGCGGGTGCAGGTGTTGACCTGTGTGTGCGTGGGTGCAGGTGTTGATGTGTGTGTGTGTGTGTGTGTGGGTGCAGGTGTTGATGTGTGTGTGTGTGTGTGTGTGGGTGCAGGTGTT